ATATCCTTCCAAAGTTGCTTAAATTAAAATATTTTTTATGCATAACTTCTAAACGGTAAAAGCCACGAAATAAAAATTTCCTGCAGTCAACTTTTTTTCCTGTATTATTTTTGTAATCTTATTGAAATAAAAAGAATAAAACCGTTTTCGAGATATTTGAGCTTTTGTAGTCACATGATATCAACAGATTAATTCATCGGTGACAATGTTTTAGGAGCCATAACCGATTTTGTTCTCAATTTTGACGTTCATGACATCAACATTGTTATTGTTAATTTCTTCGTTTGGTGTTTTTCTTCGTTATATTATTACTGGCGATTTTCAAGTGAGATATAAAGGTTATTCGCAGAGATTTTTTCCGCTTGACGCGTTCCAAATTCAAGAACAATTTTGAGGATTGGGCAAAGATTATTGCGTGAAATAGAATGTTTCAAAACAAAAAATAGGGATGGTGGCTGGCGAAAGTTCGAGGCGTACTAAAATATTGATACTGATGAATTTACCTGCTAAAATCATGTCACTACAAAAACTCAAATATCTCGGGAACGGTTACATTTTTTGTATTTCGATAAGAGTACCATTTTTAGGTAATTTTATTCATTCTATGAGATGCTCCTGTTTTTTTACCGGAATTAATGCAAGGAAAAAAGTTGTCTTCAAAAAATCATGACCCACCCCCTAAAAACACCCTTTATAACTATAGCAGAACTGTAGAAGTGTATCAAAAACCCGTATTTAATCAACACGTATTTATGCAGGAAAATTCAATTTGGTGGCTTCTACCGTTATATGGAGAAATTATTTTAATTTCATCAACTTTGGAAAGATATTTTTTCCTTGTATTAATTTTGGTTAAAAAACAGAAGCATCTAATAGATTGAATATTTCTTCAATCGGAACTATTTATATGAAAAATTCATAGTCCACTATCAAAATTCAATTTTTTAGTGATTTTTGGGCATTTTTAAAAATGTTATATTCCATACATATATCATTTTGAAGAGAAAAAATAAGGAGTATGCTGAGCTTATAAAATACAGGGTGCTCTGTTTAAAAAATCAAGTTTACCCCAAAACCATACCACGAAAAAAATGTTTGAATGCGCCACTGGATTCTGCGTAAAATTATCTCTCAGAACCTTCGTAGATATAGAGGAGGTTCAAAAAGTATGAATTTTCAAAATCACCCTGCATGGGTATCATAAACGGAAACAATTATACAAAATCTGATTAGGCCAGCTTCTCGTTTGCTTCGATATGCTTCGTTCTAAATCGTTCTTGTCAGGATTTGACTACGAAACAGAGTTCAAAAAAGGGTCAGATAACACCAACGTCGATTGTTTATCCAGAGAAATCGAATCCAGGGAAATCGAATCTTCGAACAATCGATACCTTAGTACACGAGATGAATTCGTATTCCATATGTCAGATATCGTCGGAAGAAGTCACGACAAAGACCATTGCTCGAGAAACTGATAAAGATGAGGAACTCTCAAAAATCAAGAATGGTCTTACTGGTGGTGCGGCTAAGGATCTTCAATACACACTCGACGATCTTGTTATCCTCAGAAGTCATGAGGTTGTGATTCCACTTTCATTTCAGCATTCTATCTTTAAGGAATTGCACAGCACTCATATAGGGATCACCAAAATGTAACAATTGGCCCGCCGTTACTGTACTTGGAGTGGAATATGGATCGAGCAATAGAGAATATCGTTAAATTTTGCGAAACATGTGCTATTCTCAACTCAAGTCCACCCAAAGCACTGCTCCATTCGTGGGAGCAACCACTAGAGAACTGGGATCGTGTTCACATGGATTATGCAGGGCCATATGAGAACAAACATCTCTATATAGATCATTGTAGATGCCAAATAAAAATGCGCTGAAGTCAGAACTTCAAATAATGCTCCAACAACTTCTATATCCATCGAATTACTTGATAATGGATTTGCGACACATGGACTACTCAGAGTGTTGGTATCTCATAATGCAACGATTTTTACCAGTGACAATTTCAAAAAAGGTGCACGGTGAATGGAATCTTCCAAAAGGTCTCCGCCCCAGGTCATCAAGCAACTGCCTTCCTCGCAGAGCGCATTGTGCGAACCATTACAAATTGTTTTGAGGCCATTGAAAATACAGATTTAACGCTCAATCAAAAATTACAGAAAATCATGTATCAGTATAGAGCAACTCCACTTGCCGCAGGAAAAACTGCTGAACTCAACCTGAAACGAACTTCCCGAATTCGATTAGATACCATCAAACCATTTCATGAACCAGATCATCCAGTTCCAGGTATCTGATCATTCAAGGCTGGAGATCGAGTTCTGTCTCGATACTATGCCGATAATCACCCGACATGGCGTTTTGGTGTGGTGATGGAGAATTTTGGCTATCTGCACTTTCTTGTGAAACTCGACAATGGTTACGTGTATACACGCCATATCGATCCACAGGTTACTCGGAAAACGGTTTCCTTTGCGCCTGACACGAAGCCAGCTGCGGAAGATTCTGAAGATCCCCAGGAGAATCCAGTATATCTACCGAGGCTCCAGATTCCACCAATGGATATCTTGACGCCTCCGGAAGCCATGGCGAAAACAACTATCTCGGGCTGGGCGGAGGGAAAAACACTCACGTACTGGTCCGAATTACCAGGATTAACCCATTCGAAGGCGTTCCTGCCTAAACCATCGGAAAAAAATAACCAGGCAGATCCTAGAATGGAGCAGGGGTAACCTGCGAATTCTGACTGGACTGCTTACGGGACACTGTCGTCTAAGATACCACCTGGGAAGGATGGGTCTGAACCAACAAACGGACTGTCGGTTCTGTTGTGTGGAAGACGAAACGGCTGAACACATATTATGCTCATGCTCTAGCTTAGAAAGACTAAGGTTCGACACATTTGGCTTTACCAACCTAGAACCTATCGATTTCAGACAAATCTCACCCAATTCAACCATGAACTTTGTAAAAAGATGTGGATTGTACGGTGAACTGTAACCTCTAGGGGTGAGCCACAATAGACCCATCTGGGGTCGCAGTGGAGGGGAGGTGTTCGCCCCACTCACATGGAACCTAACCTAATAGTGGGGGAGCTTTGTTATAACTTACATATCCGAAACATCCGTTATATTTGTCAGATACTTCGAGTTGACAGTCAAATAAATGTTAAAAATACGCGAGCATTTTTATTCAATATTCACAACAGCTTCATTTCTGCATCACTGGAACTAGAGGTACTTGCCCTTGGTGTTTCTGTTTTCACTATCGGATAATATGTCTTCTAAGATCCATAATTTCAACGTGTGTAAAGAAGATAACAATAAGAAGGGCGCGAAAATGGAAACGAACAAAATAAAACACCGAAAATCAAAAGATCATAGGTTATTGTTATGTTTTGCTGCCAGTGTACCAGTAGTACCAGTACTGCCAAAATTGTATCGAAATGAAATGAAAATTCAAAGCTAATGTTACTGTTTGGTGTTCCTAAATTGCTTACTGTGGCTAGTAATGTCAGCAATATGGAAACATGACATATGTACAAAATTTAGTAGACAAGTTGACTTCGCCCGCCACTATGATGCAGTGTCCAGTGTCCACCTCAATAATATGGTCACAAATCAGCGACGAAATTCACGGAATTTACTCGTTTGATATCTTCATTAGTGGAAAATGGCTATTCAAGTTCAGATTTAGTGATATGGAGGAAGCAGCACAAAATGCACTATTCTCTTCGTCCACCCATATTTTTATTTCGTAACTGGTGTTGAAATGAACATGTCATCAACAGTTAAAGTAAGACGTTTCAAATCATCCGTCAGTGTTTTAAAGTAATTTCACACATGTCAAAATTATAGAAAAATAGTTATTTATTATACAAGGGAAAACAGTAGTGTATTTTAGCTAGAGGTTGTGTTGAATAGGCACCGACTCGTAGCGTCACAGTCACAGAAATAAAATATTTTCCTCGCGTTATATGCCATTGTTCTATAATTTATTGAACACTTGTGGAAATGACTTTTGAGTTTTTTCCTCATTGTTGATGATGAGTATTTTCAAGGTGGTTTCTGGAGGAGCAGCCTGCAACAATTTTATAGCAAAAGGTTTGAGTATGGTATGCGGAGAACTAGGATATAAAATGGTCAGACCACAACCAAAACTATGCACCGACAATGGAGTCATGATTGCTTGGAATGGTGTGGAAAGGTGAATATAATAATTGCTTTCTCTGAACAATTCACGGCGAAAGAATTTTAAACAAAACGCAAGCATGCCATTTCTCTAGAAAAGCCGATCTCACTGTGCCCAACATAAGCTTATCAGGAGTAACCATACCTTTGAAGACATCCATTACGATGCTTGGTATAACTATCAGCAAAAACCTTTCTTGGGAAAATCACGTGAGATCAATTGCTAAAAGTGCATTCCAAAAACTTGGTTTTCTGTTTCGGGCCAGGAGCTATTTCACTTCCAGTCAGCTGCTTATTATCTATAAGGCACAGATCCGACCTGTCCTGAAATACTATCTCCATATTTGGAGTGCAGCACCCAAACATACCCTGAAACTGTTAAATTCTGTCCAAGAAAGGGAAATTCGTCTCGTGGGTGATGTCTCGCTCACAAACTCACTCACATCTCTGGAACACCGTGAAATGTTGGCGATCTGGCTCTATTTTATAGATATCTTCATGGACGATGTTCTTCAGAAATATCAACAATTGTTGCTCCTTTGCCAGTCCCCGCGAGATCAACCCGCCGAGATGAGGCTTCACACCCCTTCGTGGTCACTTTGGAGACCTGCGAAACATCTCTTTCCAAAGACTCGTTCATCCAACGAAAAGCAAGGCTCTGGAACACATTGCCAAGGGAGGTGTTCCCCGAGGCATATAACCTCCAGAAAATAAAGAAGAACACCAATTCCTACCTTATTTCCCTTGGTTCTCACGATGTTCTCTGAACATTACAGGATATCCCTTTTTTTTTTTCAGGTGGAAAGAAAACATCGGAGTCTATACAGATTTTGAAAATATTACAATTGAAAATAATGCACCTCTCGGCGAAAGTCTCATAGAAGAAGTTGAAAATCAAAGAATCAGTTGCAAATGGGTGAAATTGACTCAATTAAATCAACCACAAGCCAGTTGGTCGAAGGATTGATAGTGAAGTACATAATATACCAACATATCAACAAATTTCTTGGTAAAAGATGGCCACTTGTTTTATACTTATAGGGCACCCTGTATATTTCAAGATCATATGTGACCAATATTTTACTATACAGGGTGTTTCCTAATTGAATATCAATATTTGAGGAGGCAAGTCTTGAGCCCATTTTAAGAAGAAAATTTCATGTGAACGTCAATTTTTAAGATACATGGTGGTAGAGTTCTCAAAAATGAAGTTTTTCATTATTATCTGTGATACTACTCTAGATATTCTGATGACATTTGGCATGTACTATGTATCAAGAAACATCGGCGAGTGTACAACATTTTTTGTTGTTGACACCACTGGCGTTCGTATGGAATTTTACATACCTATTTTAGCAGACATTGATGGTACGCCACTGATTGATCTCAAAATTGAAATCATTCCTGAAATTCTCAATCACTTCAAAGCAAATTTGATCTCCACAATTTTTTCAATCTAATGCACGTTTTTCACTCAAAAAATAAAAATCTGCTCACTGCATGATCATAACAAAATTGTCAATAACTGAAACAATCCAAGAGATCAAATCAAGTGTTATTACAGATATTAATAAAATACTATATATTTTTGAGAAGTTCACCACCATGTATCTTAAAAGTAAAGACGTTTAGGTCATTCGTTCATATGTTTTTTTTCTTTCAAAATGGGCCCAAGGATCGCCTCCTCAAATATTGAAATTCAATTAGGAAACACCCTGTATATGAGTACCAAAAAATGTAATTTTTTTATTTATTTGTTAATTTCAGAGACATCTCATCTTTGATATAGTTACGGATAGGACTAAAAAGAATAAAAACTACATTGAAATGTTTACATCAATTTGTTTTTATACAAGCACAGGTCCTTTTTCTTTCAACGATTTCCTTACATTTTCAATTATTTCAGTGCTCTGATCTTCCTCTTCCTTCTCTAGTTCTGCTAATACATCTAATAGCTTACGTAACTTCTGTTTAACATGTTCAACATCATCAGGATGTTCTTTCGCTGATATGGGAATGATATCACAAAAATTCAATGTTTTATTAGGTCTCATCTCTTCGGGATATTGTTTGAAAAATTCTGAAAATTAGAAGTAGGTACTCTTAGTCACAGGATACATTCGACCAGATTGACGATAATACCTGGTAGATTTTTTAAATGGTCTCTTATTTCTTGAAATCTCTCTAATGCTCCTTCAGAGTCCATTTTGTTTATTAAAATCATTGATGGTTTCATCAACATATCTTCATTATACATTTCAAGCTCCTATAAATAATGTTACCTATAGTTATATATACAGGGTGTACGCTACTTAATGGTAAACAGCAAAAATATTGCGTTTCGTTTTCTCCCAATAATTCATCAACGGGGTGACAAAACGGCAAGAAATTTGGCATCAAGGGGTTTTCTGAGGCGAGAAATTCTAATTCGTTGTTAGTTTGGATGTCATTTGTAGGTACATTAAATCTCTTCAAAATGATTGAACTTTTTTGTGTCACGGTGTATTAGTCTAAATGTTGAAGATTATGTATTTAACATCTTTTTTACGTAAAAAAAGGCATACTTTGCAAATGACTCTGTGAGTGGCCGTTTTCGAGATATCTGCATATCAATTATCATGTGTTTCTTCATTGATTTTTTGAATTTAAATGCTTTCCAAATGTATGGATCTATCGGCTTTTGATATTGGTCGATACGATAATCGGCCAACGAGGCCGATATAACCGTTACGCCGATATATACAGACATTATTATGAAAAGTTGGTGCCTTGGATAATTAGTTGTGTTCTATTGACCTAAAATATTCTCAGTGTTGCGATGTTGCCGCTTATATAGAAAAGTAGCAACAAATTTGATTTTTTAAATGGGACACCCTGTATATTATTTCATTTTCAGATTTTCCCTGAAGAGCTGATTCTATTGACCCATAACACTTGGGGGCTAGCAATAATAAATACAGAGTTATAGGATGTGAAAAATCGAGATTTTTCAACTTTATGAATTTTTTGCGTCTAAAATATTCAGAATTGGTAAAAACGGTTTTCATGTCCCTATCCCAACATTTTATTCACTATCAATTGATATTTAATTGAAATAAATACAGAGTGGTTCAGAATTAAGATTTTTGACCACCCTGTATCTATTTCAATTGATAGTACATAAAAAGTTATAATAGGGACATGGAAACCGTTTTGACCAATGATGAATAGTTTTGACATAAAAACTTCTTAAAGGTGGAAAATCTCGATTTTTCACACCCTATATCTTTGTTATCAATTCCGCTAGTCCCCAAGTGTGATAGATCGATAAAATCAGCTCTTCAGGGAGAATCTGAAAATGGCATAATATACAGGGTGTCCCATTCAAAAAATCAAAGTTGTTGCTACTTTTCAATATAAGCGACAACGTCGCAACATTGAGAATATTTTAAGTCAATAGAACACAACTGATTATCCAAGGCACCAACTTTTCAGAATACTCCTGAGTTGCGTTCTCCAGAAACGTCTGATGTGCTATCCACCGTGAATCAGTCTGTATATCGGTATTGGTCGATCCCTAGTTTCGATAATTATGTTAGCTTCTTCAGGAGAAGATTAACCCTTAACCTGAAGTATCTACTTTTAGTCTATTCTTGGAAGTATGTGTCTCACAGACACGCAATTTAAATAATACGGAAATCGCGCTAAATTTTAAGTAATAAAATTTGGCTATTGTTGTAGGATCATTTATTGATATTTATCATATTGTCACAGTTAAAACAAAATAAAACATGTTTGAAGAATAAAATAAAATACTCAAATAAGTCAAAATTTCTAGTAATATATGGAATTTGGTGTAAGATTTATAATTCTTGACAACACGATACACATAACTTCCTAGAGCATTCCAAACAAATTGGGTTTTCACACTTCTATCTATTTATAGCTCATATTTCGTTTTTTGTGTAGGGACAAAGGCTACATTTTCGCCTTTTTTCAACCGTTTTTAGAAGTATGTGTCTAATAGACACCGTATCTTTTCACAACAATTGACCTGTATTCACTGAACGTCAAATTGTAACTGAATGCATTTGACGCGATCTAACGCCTAAGATCACTTGATGAGGATACCTAGAGGGTGGGGTGGCTAAATAAATTAGTATGTTCACAATTGCAAAAGTTAGGAGAGTAGGTGTCTGCCAGGCACATACTTCGGGTTAAGGGTTAAAACTAAATTTCAAAAGTGATAAAACAGTGTTTTATGATTATCATGCCGAAGGTTCCAGTCTTTGATATATTTTCAATAACTAATTGTTTTCCCAAATTGAAATAAATTCAAAATCAATGGCAAGCATGTCCGCTATTGCTCACGCGTGGCGCTAGTGTGGCTGTAGTCATCTGTCATTCCAAACGTTATTGAAGGAAGCAAAAGCGACAGTTTCTCGAACTAATTTTATTAATATGAATCAGTAAACAAAGATTTACAGCTTATACATATAACCTACAACCTCACCAGTGCCATCTGCTTCAAGCTATCCAGATTACCTATCATTGAAAAGGAATATCCATACCTTTATCAAGAGCATCACAGTTTCCAAGCAACTTCTATGTGGATACTGAGGACCTAATTGGAAGCCATTTATATCAACGACCATAAGCAATAGCTTTGTTCTCTCAACATGCTTCAAGAACTCATGACCCATTCCTCGGTTAGCATGGGCTCCTTCTATGAGACCTGGTAAATCGGCCATGGAAATTTGGCGATGATCTTTATATACCATAATACCAATATTTGGCTTCACAGTTGTGACTAAAACCGCCAGATAAAAAAAATGTTTGGAATTGTTTCATCATCTTACATGGATAGCTGGCAATTTTAGGTTTTGCTTGAGATATTGACCTCAAGAGTGTGCTTTTTCCAGCATTCGGGAATCCTACCAATCCTATGTCAGCAATGAGTTTCAAGTCCAAGCTAACAAAATATGCTTGCCCTTTTGTACCCAAGAAACCATTTTTTGCGTGTCCTCCAGTACCCCCTTTTGCTAAGACAAGTTCATCACCTTCATTATTCAATTCACCTACAAGATTAGTCAAGATTAATATTTTAAATCTTCAGTACCTATTAGGATATCTCATATCTTGTAGTATTAAGTGGAGTGGTTAGTTACCAGCGTTCAAAACACAAAGTTGTCTCCACAATAGGCTCATCTTCAGCGAGAATTGACAATTATGGAGAGGAAAAAAGAGAAAGTACTTTGCCACGTGAATCTTTGCATAGCATGGTTTAGTGCTTTTCTGCCTTGTGGGGCCTCAGAACCCCCTTTTGTAATCACAAAGTCAAATTCCAAAAATTTTAGAATGAAATGCTAAAGGTACTCCTTTTGCCATATTGTGACTTGTATAATTATGTAAATCAAATACTTCCTCTTGTTTCCTCTCGTTTTCAATGTTCGCTGAAGATAAACCTAGGCTAGGCTAGAAACATGTACGTCTATCCGGTGTAAGTGATTTTTGGGATCTCCTCCCCTCGTCTCTATAGCAAATCCGATGATTTACCCCAAAATGACATTGTGCTTAATACTTTCATTGAAACCCAAGAGAAAAATTGAATCAGTGACATCTTGTTTGACAACTGCTTAGGTGTATTGGAAAAATTTAAAATTTCACTTATTTTTGGACGTTTTGGGAACGAATCTGATCCCGTTTTCAACACAACAGAAGTTTTTAGAAAACTGTATGAGTGACAGAGTGTTTTTTTAATTGATCTTGATTTAGGTAGCAATATGTTAAGAAGAATGCAAGAGGATTGTTATATTTTTTGTCATCTGTTCAATATTTGAACCTCGATTTGAACCTAGTGTTATTGATTTAGGTAGCAATATGTTAATAAGAATGCAAGAGGATTGTTTGTTTTTTTTTAATTGTCATCTTCTGTTCCATATTTGAACCAAGTGTTTTCATGAATAAGAGATGTTTGAAAAATTCCGGTTTTGGAAACATTGAATTTGAAGAAAAAAGTTTTTTGAGACGGTGGAACCGAATGTTTGATCATTATCTATTCTTACTCTGAAAAGCCACAACAAATTATGCAAACAGATTTGATAACTAATGAAATTAGCATTCATCAACTCAAAAGAAATTAGAAATCTGTTGTGGAAATAACAATTCAAATTTGATAATAAGTTATTGGCTTCACGTTTAGAATGTTAACCACTTTATAATAATAATAATATAGTACATAGCTTGGGAGCCGGTGGAACAAATTACCTGTTCACTTTATCAAACTGGAGCATTGAACTATTAAGATTGTTCATCGAATCGTTACATAAGAGTATTAATAAGAAAGGATGGCATTTGGCAACATGGCCTGACAGAGAGCAACGCTCACCGTCAGACAGTTAGACCGTTACCACCGATACAACAAGGCCTGCATGCTCCGTGGGTGACGTCACTTAGTGAGGCCTAACCAGCGGCTCGAAACGACAAGCGCTTATAGCGCTATAAGGCGACCGCGTATTTCGATTTTAATTTTAGATCATCATTGAGCCGATTTTGCTGTTTTTTGAAGGGCTTCCGGTTAAAAAAGGATGCCAGTCGTCAACTGAGCCCTTCTTCGCACCCATTCGATTTTATTATGGAAAAACGAAGTTTTAAAGCAAAAACCAGGATAAAACACAAATATCCACCTACAGCAACCCATTCGAATTAAATATATTGGCAAAAATTGTGGTGAAGGTAAACTTCACACCTACTTATACAGGGCCCGCAGAACATAAACTTATCGTGAGATTGATCGAAAGAAAATTGTGGAAAATGTATTTTATTTTGATTGACATGCCGTTTGTTACAATTACCTATATTTATCTTGGAGATAACCAGTGAGTGTTTTCGATTTTCTGTTGTTGGATTTTTCACCCAAGTGGATCGTTACACTTGAAACCGTAATTTTTAAGGGTAAAACTGCATTTATCATGCGATGGTTTTTTATTTGAATTTTTTTTCGGTACTCACGTATTTTTGTCTGATAAACCGAATTTTATAATGAAAATGTGAACAAACCACTATTTATTGAGATATTTCAAGAAAAAGTTCGAAATTTCGCCTCCTTTCTCCCCTTGTGTTGGGGGCATTTGAAACTACTTGCTCTTATTTTGTCATTAGACACTTTATATACTCATGATGTACTTCGATGGCACATTTTTATATAGAAAATTCAACAGGAAATATGATTTTTATGGCGAGTTTTTCATATTTAGTGAACAAGCATTCTCGCGGTGAATTGCATATACCCACATTTTCGATAGCTCCTCGTCCAACGGGAAACTAAAAGCATTAACTTTTGAACCACCCACATAATTCCCCCGATAAAAGGGAACACAACACTTGAAAGGCATTGTTATTTCGCCGATCACAACACAAAATATTTCACAAAACAGTAATTTTTCCGCCAATTATTTTGATGAATAAACAACAAAAGAATTCGTGACCGTTTCAAAAACATACGTGAATCACCGATGAATTAACACGAACTGACGCGTTAGTCGAAAAGCGATAAAATAAAACACTGGCCTCTCTTGGTGACGTCACGAGCTGTTTACGTCAGGATCTGCTGGCCTTGTTGTATCGGTGGTAACGGTTGGGCGCATAATGAATTTCAGTTATCATTCTGTTCAGATATTCCAACGGAGACTGGCGGAGACGTACGATAGCCGAATCAATCTCTTGCTATGTAGCCATTCACTTGCCCTATTTATAACGATTGGGCAAACAATCTATACAAAAACCAATGCATATTCTTTTTTTTTCCAAATTTTTTTCACATGCTCGCAACACACCTTTTATCCCACCCACCATTTTCAAGCCAGCAGACTCCCCTTTGGGTATTCACCAATGCATATAGCATATAAAAACAGTTTCAGCATGATCAAACAAGAAGAATTTTCTTCCATCATCTCTTGAGCTAATATAATATCATTCAGCATAGGGAAGCAAATGTTTGCATGTTCAACTTCTTTTTAGTTCACTTGAATTTTCCAATTTTGATGGGAGAATCATAGTATCCGACTCCTAAAACCCCAGATGAAAATTTTGAATAGATTCGGAACATAATTACAAAACTCGTTCGCAATATTGGATCTATCATCTTGAATTCCCTAATTTTGACGAAGAAATCATAATTTTTGATCCCGAAAACGCCCACTTACAAATTTTGAATAGAATCTGTATATTATTACAAAATTTGTTCGGTATAATGGTTCCACCGTCTTGAATTTCCAAACCCCGCTTAAATTTTGACAAAAGAATCAGAATCTTCGACCCCTAAAACTCCCAGATAACAATTTTGAAGAGAGTCGGATGATAATTACAATAATCGTCCGCCATATTGGGTCCGCCATCTTGAATTTCCTAATTTTGACGAAAGAATCATGATCTCCGACCCCGAGAACGACTATATACCAAATTTGAATAAAATCGGATCCTTATCACAAAATCAGACATTTTGGATCCGCCATCTTGAATTTTTCAATTTTGGCGAAGGAATTATAATCCTCGCGATCACAGAAACCCCTATAGGTACCAATTTTGAAAAGAATCGGATTATAATTAAAAAAACTCGTCCGCCATATTGGTTCCGCCATCTTGAATTTCCGAATTATTTTCAAAATTCTGACGAAAGAATCATAATCTCCGACCCCGAAAACCCCCAGATACCAATTTTGAATTTCCTAATGGTACCGGGATAGAAAGTATTCTATAACCTTCTCCTAGTTCTAAGCTACCTCCACACCAATTTTCAGCAAAATCGATCTAGTAGTTTCGGGCCTATTCAATACATACATATACAAACAATCAATCAAATCTTTCCTCTTTATAATATTAGTATACAGATTGTTTATCAGTGGCGGCTCGTGCTTCTTTCAACAGGGGAGGCTGAAAATGGGAAGTGTAAATGTGAATTTCTACAAAAAAACCTAGGACACTTATGAGGTTCTGGCTCCTCATATTTTTAATGGCCATCAAACCAAATAACAACAATCACTTATACTTATGACAAAAAAATACAGAAATGGTCAAGTATAGGTTCATTTTTGATGGTGTTTCTATTTCCATTTCAAAGAGAATTCTTACAGCGACATCTTATAGAATAGAATAAGATGTAACAAAACCCTTATAATGCGATTTTTAACTTTATATTGCCGGCAAAACAAAAGTGCATGAATCCAAACACCATATACTTGTAAACATCTCGTCACACAGACAAAAGGGCATGAGTCCAAACACCATATACTTATAAACATCTCGTCACACGTGCTCTAGTGAATTTCATGGTCAGAGGCTGATTTCCATTGGATGTTGCCGCATGAGTCGAAACACCATATACTTATAAACATCTCGTCACACGTGCTCCAGTAAATTTCATGGTCAGAGGCTGCTTTCCGTTGGATGTTGCCAAGTCGCAAATTTGTATTCTATTCTGAATACTTTCAAGTAAAGGATGCATTGCTGCCAAATTCTCAAATTCTACTTGATATCGAGGATAAAACGAACGTAAGTTAGCAATTTTGGTGTATATTTTATACAAGTATATTGAAGTATTCAATGAATGAAATTCGTGAATAGGCTCAGAATCCCTTGCCTCTGAGAAGCCACTATTTTTCATCGAATCTTTACATATAAGGATTATTAAGAAAGGATGGCATTTGGTAATACTGGCAATTACAGAGAATAATGATTGTTTCTCTGTGGTGGCCAGACATAGAGTCAGATGCAATGAATATGTTGCACATGGTTGGTGTTTGCACCTCTAGTCACTTCTGCATTAAGAGCTCTAACACCATCCAACCACAACATGTTCTTTGCATCTGCCTGTAGGATAGTTGATTTGATCTCACTTGCTATGTTGCCATTCACATGCTCTATATTTAACAATTGGCAAAAAATCTGTATACTTGGTAACTGAGAGGACACTGAATGGTGTTTTATTCTGAAAGATTATGAATTGATATGCATACTATCCCAGACAGCACCAGATATTCCATGAATATTCATAGAATATTCTTTTTGGATATTGCGAATATTCATGAACATGCCAGGGATATACATATCAACTATGGAATATTCCCTGAATGTGCTGGTGGGGAAAATTTTGTATATTCCCGGAATATTACACAAGGAATATTCCCTATATATTCAGAATGTACCTATACTATTCTAGGAATATTCAGATAATATTCGGAATATTCCTGGAATAACACAGGAATATAAATAAATGAATATTCCGGGAATATTCCGTAATACATATTCATAATTAAAAAAAGCTGACCCAAGATGGGCTCGAACTCGGGACTTTCAGACTGTCAGATCAACGCCTTAACCACTTGGCCAGTAATCGAGTTGAATAATAATGTACATAACAATTTATTGAATTGCGTTGTTCAGAAGGGAACCATAAACACTTCCAGTTTCATATGGGCTCTTAACATGTACGATGATCTGATTGAGTACTTTGATCACTATCAAAATTGTGGAGACGACTTTTTGTTTTTGATCCCTGGTAACATAACCACTTGACTTTGAAATACGATGGACTTCTACCACAGATTTCAAAATCAATGTTTAATACTCACATCTATAAAATTGTGATTGGTTAATTTTCATACTTTACAATTTCATTGAAACACATGGGAATATTATTGAAATATTCCATGAATATACAGGAACAGAATATTCAATTGGGAATATTCCTGGAATATTCATACCTGAATATTCCCTGCACTATCCAACTGGAATATTCTAGGAATATTAACTACAGAATATTCCTTCTGGAATATTCCCTGTATATTCATTTTTTAATATTACTAGAATATTCACATTTGAATATTCCTTGAATGTTCCAGAGGCACGTATATATTCTAAGAATATTCGAAGGATATTCGGAATATATTCTTCCCTTTTAGCATATTTAGAGAATATTCTAGGAATATCCAGTGCTGTCTGGGATCATAATTTGTGAGGGCATATTTAGTTAAACCATATGTCATATTCCAACAGGTTTAGACATATGGTTAACCTGATGATGAGCATGTTCAGATTTCATGAACAGTACTGCCCAGTATATTTAATCCTTCCCATCATTCTGATTTTCTTGAAATATACTGGCAATGTTTTCACAGGTCCTGGCAAGGAACCCTGTTAGAGGCTAAAAGTTCACTTTTGGCCACTGGTGCAGAAATGGTGATGTAGTGCCAGTATTCATGAAACATTAGGTTAAGCCTTTGAATGGTTAGGTATGAGCCATGAGTTGATGAAAATTATAAATTGTTATTCTCAACTTTGGGAAAATGTATCAAGTTGAACTGAAATATCTCACAGTGGCAGTAGACCCTGGAACTGCCAATAATCTACAAGATGGTTTGTTATTCCCACTTTTGATATCAACTATCTCACAGCTATGCTTAATTTCTCCATCAATAGAACAAGAGGTACCAGAGCTTGGTGTTTCTGATGAATCAGAATCAGTATCAGATAGTATGCCTTCTAAGATAAAATGATTTATCAGTCCATCCATAGTTTCAATGAGAGTAGGGAAGATAAAAAGAATGATGAAAATAGAAAACAACAAAACAAAACATGGAAAATCAAAAGATCATAGGTTATGGTTATGTTTTGCTGCCAGTGTATACCAATACTGCCAAAATGAAAATTCAAAGCTACTGCTACTGTTTAGTGTTCCTAAATTGCTAATTGAAATTAGCCTTACTGAGCACAATGTGGGAGTGTGGAATGGAACATTTTAAGCTTGATTTTAAATATATTGGTATGTCTATGATTTGTTTATCTTCATATAATCCTATATTTTTCCTACCTAATTTTTTTCCTAATTCTGTTATAATAGACACTCCAACAGGTACTTCAAACCTCAGATCTTCTCCTGGTATTCCTAAGATGAAATTGTGTGAGGCATGCCGTCCTCCTTTAGCTATATACTGCTTTGTTTTGTTAGATTTGAAAACAGTTTCAAGGGATATGTCTTCTTTGGCTGCTACTACAACATTTCCTCCATTACCTCCAACACCACCAAATCTATGGGAGGAACATTAGGATAGATATATTAATATTAATAAATCTGGTGGCTAAGTTGTAGGTGATTTATCTGATAAACTGTATAATAACATTCAATGTATATTTTTACACCACAATATGAGCTGTTACATTTTTCAAGACAACTCAATAAATAGGTATATGAATATAGAAGTATCATCCAAAGTTTTATTTTGCAAGACTAGTATTATTGTAAATTGATTTGAAAATTTGTTCTCGGATTTCTTGTGTAAATAGTCATAAAAATCATTTTCTGGCTGATATATTACTTCAACAAAGCGTTCCCTTGATGGAAAAAATATATTACTTGGGCAGACCATTTCCTCCAGCACCACCCTGTACGTATATTTTTAGGTTATCTCTGAAACCTTCACGTAGGAATCTTCTGGTAATCTTTCTAACTTTCGCTAGTAATGAATTGGTTATCTGAACCATTTTAGAAAAATTAAATATTTTTTTACATCTTTGGAACTTTGCTTTGATGAATTTTGGTTGTTTTTTTTTAAGGTTATACAGCGTTGCCACTTGCCAGGTTGCCAATGCAACCTGCACAGCAGCGCACCATCACTGCATGTTAAAAAGTTCTAGTACTTGACAAAAAAAATACTAGATTTTCAGAAAAATTACTAGTTTTTCACAATTCATTTATACCAGAAATGAGGTTGGATGAAAATTGGAAAAAATTGAATCTTGATTTTGGAGTTTCAGAACCATAAATATCTACTACTCATATAAGAAGCATAGCTGACCTCAAAGCGGGACCATGCTTCTAAGACTAACACCAATAGGGTCCAATTCTTTCAATATAATTCTCACACTTCTATTCGTAATTACAAATCCTTGCTGAATGCATTTCAAATGCATTCATCGATAGCCGTGTAACTAACTGTCCGTACTTCTCAACTTCTTGGGCTATAAAACTTCAAACAACAACAAAACTTCTGATAAGGGAGTGAAATATTTTTTTCTGAAGAGGCCCATTATCTTCAATATTTGTTTAACTGTTGATAAACTCATACATTGTTTATGATATACCGTCAGGAAAGCAATAATTTCTTTGTAACTAAGCCTTTCCACATGTTTTCTATTGATATCTCGAACAAAGCTCTCCAAACTCGAATGACAATGTGACAGGCTGGCAGTGAGAAAATTTGTCAGCAAATAATTCAGGTTATGTTGAATAGCTCATTTGACACAGGAAATAGATGATGCCACATGCCGTCCCTTGGCGATTTGGCGATTTTCGCTGAATGAACAGTCATGTATATCCCGTCAGACAGTCTAGATATTTAGCCGTCATTGGCTCCACGCCGAAAAGTGTACTATAGAAAAAGGTAGTGTACAATATTAATTTCATACAGAACAGACCTCTTATTGCACAAATGCACATGTCATGCTGTCATGCATGACTTGTTCCTTGTTCCTTCATTTCATTCATATATTCGTATTTTGTATTTATATTATTATATTATATATTTTCGGTTGTAGCTGTCGACCTTCTCTCGACTCGAATAATACATTATTATTGAATCATATTTATTTCGTCTGGAAGTGAATTGAATATTGATATTGTGATTTGTGATCAGTGTCCCCACGCCGCACACATGTATTTTTTATAATGTGATCTGCCTGATGAAATTCATCCCTGCTGACGATTGAAATTACGTCCAAAATTACATCTTTTTGAAATGTGATTGCTCTGGTGAGTATTCAGAAACCACTATTACATCATAAGAATTCCAAGAACGTTGTACTTGGAATTCAAAAGCTTTGAAATAGTCAATATTATGCGAGGTACACTTTGCCAAATTGAAATAAGTTCAAGAAATATGCAACAGAATTTGAAGATAGCAGCCTTGGGCTCCGGTAATTTCATATTTTCAAGCCTTCGGAAATGAGAACATTTTCCTAGAATCAAACCAAAATGATATCTCCAAGGATATCTCTATATTATTATTCATGATTTATTTTCATATCCTATATTAACCAAGAAATAGGAACCATTGTAACTAGAAATTGTCACTATACTGCAACAGTCCAACAGTAGATTCATACCCACTACCTAGCTACTTTTATTTAAGTGTTATTATGTTGAACAGCATCAGAAATTGGGCAACAATAACAACAATACAAATTTTCATCCAAGGACTATCTATATTGATTAACCTTGACTTCTGTGGAGATAGGAATTGAATAATATCAACAAGTAAACTGATTATACCACCTACATGGTGATGCTTTTAGGACTGCAACATTTTGAAATAGTCAATAATCTGAATATGTCTGGAGTACTTTGTTT